ACCCAACAATGGGAACAATCGTTCAAAACCTATGCTTCTCAATCTCGTTTCATAGATCATTGGAAAGTCTCACAAAAGATCCTTTCAATATGGTATCTTACTCCTCTTCGATTGTCCAAAATGTTCACTTCTTCATCCCCAGTTTGTCGGTGGAAATGTGGTCTAACTGGCCATAGTTTGCTCATTTGTTTGGTCATGCAAAGGTCTAGCAAGCTTTTGGCATTCTATTTTTCATCTAATGGCTTCTTTTTCAGACCATTTAATCGTGCCAAACCCTCAAATGGCATTATTGAGCATTGGTATTGATAAATACCCTTTTATGCAAAAATCTGTCATTATGCATACTCTTTTCACAGCCAGACTCCTTATAGCTAAATATTGGACACCATCTGATGCTTCATCCATCCAGGAACCCATAGTAATAAAGTGGCTAACAATGCATATATGAGTGATTATTACCATTTCAACTAAATGCTCACCATTTATTCCTGCATAGATGGAGCTAGTGGATCTCTTTCTCTTCTAATATTAAGGACATTTACGTGTAGATCTCTGTTGATTACACTGGTCCAAAAGGAGAAAGCCTCAGAAATTAAAGTAGCTAAATTTTAGCAGAATTGGGTTACTAATAAAGGGAAATTAAGTCCTGGGTATTAATTGGCTCCAGTTTCCAAGATACAGCTTCAGGTCAAAATTGCATCACGATAATTCAAAATTATGAGGGGTGTGTGTGATTATGCTGCATAACTTTTCTGCAAAATGTGATATAGCAATGAGAATGGTGCCACACCAATCATTATACATTTCTCTTTTAATTGATACCAATAACATAACTTTCCATTATTTTATTTTTTTCATGTAACATTGTCATGCCTTTTGCTTGTTGTAATCTGGAGCCCAGTAGCTCTGCCTTACTCTTAGGCAATTCCAAATCCCTGACCAGGTCATTTAGTTTACTCTGTGAAATTAGATGTGGTTTAGGAGGAGCATACAGTGGGCTAAAGCTTGGGTCTGCTGACATCGACGGCCCTGGATCAGCAGCATCCTGCTCATCGTCTTTATCATCTGAGTCTAGAGAGTAGGATTCTGGTGGATCTGGAATAGGCAAGTCCTCACCAGGACGTAGGTGTGGATGGAATGTTTAGATATTCAACAGTCCATGTCTTCTTTCTTGAGATCCCTTTTGCAATTGGGGGAACCATGCAAAAATAGCAGTCACTACTATGATTGGTGGGTTCCCTACACACCATTGGGACAGTGAAAGGCATGGACTTTCTCATCTTGTTTAGCCAATGACACAGTTTAGTTGCACATGTAATGCAACAATAATGAGGGGCCCAACTCTTGTGCTGATCCCCTATTTTGCATCTGAAATATAGGTGGTACGCCTTTCTTACCACTGCCATCATACTGCACTTTTGAGATGCAAACGTAATCTCACCACAAATGTAGCAGAAGTTGTCTGTGTTGTTTACACAGTTTTGAGGCATCTTGGCTTCTGAGGGAAATATCATGCAACTGTTCCTTGGAAATGTTAGGCAATTACACTTTCACAAGCCACCAGATATAACTGTATGATGCGTAGCTCTGACCAAGACAGATGTACCTTGCAATAAAAGAACAGTTTCAGTTAGGTAATAATATTTAGTCTCAAAGTGAAGATACATTTATACACTTCCATGTCGTACCATTTCCATTGTTCTACTGTACTTTGTCGAGAAGTTAAAAGGCATCATCATCATCATCAGACATCTCCCTCCCTTGTAGGCCAATATACTCGCCTGTGTATACATCTTTATTGTGAAATATCTTGAAAATGCTAGCCAACCAGCACCTTTATCACCCGTTTTCTAATTAATCTAATCAAAATAGGGAAGAATTAACACATTTTATCTCGGAGCTCAATCATTTCCCCAAATTTGTAGAGCACTGTTATGTATTATTGCTTTCTTTTTTCTTGGGCCATCCAGAACTAGATTTCCATCCATTTCCTCAATATCGTTATTGTCTTCTCTCCTTTTCCAGTCTCTTGTTCTTCCCTCTGTTTTTTCCACCTTTCTCCCTCGTTTGTGTGTCTTATGTTTTTACTTCTTCATGAGGAACATCAGTATGTATGTTAACTCTTTAGTCCAGTTTTTCCTCCATATGTAATATAGCACTATATTGTATCCCTGTTCAAACTATCTTTCTGGTATATTGAATACAAATCTAAAGATTAAAATACAAATCCTTCTCCATTTCTCAGACACCCCAGCTACATATAGTTCAAACACCTCAGAGGGGCCCTTAAAACTTGCGGGTATCCAGACTGGGCCTTTGCCAAAATGGAAAGAAGAGAAAAGAACACCAAGGCCACCAGTGATGGTGAAAAGCATGACAAATGAAAGAATATGATCATCCCATATGTAGCTGGGGTGTCTGAGAAACTTTTTATAAACAGCACACCCCTGTCTGCTTTAAACCCAGCAACACCTGCTTCACTCAAAAGATCCAACTCCTAAACACAAGATGAACAACATTGTGTATGCAATCCAGTGCAATGAGAAGTGGTCAGAATTTTATGTCGGTGAAACAAAACAGCAGTTACACCTGTGTATGGCGTAGCATAGAAGAGCCAAACCCTCTGGTCAGGATTCAGCAGGAAAAGGTCACTCCTTTGAAGACAGTCAAGTATGCATCACAGACAGTGAGGAGGACTGGTTTACAAGAGGTGTAAAAGATTTATGTGAAAATGGAGAAGACAAGCTTAAATAGAGGCGTTTGGTGAGACATCTATAGTCTGCCACATACAATGCTGTTTTAACACCTCTCTCGGGTTAATAACATTTGCTAGCTCCTATTATGCAAATAATATCAACACTACTATTACATTCATGAGATCTCTGACCCCATGCTGGTTATGTTCAACAGATTATGTTGATTAGAGCAACATTCATCATATTTACTCCCAGAGAATTTCTGTACTGGTCATTCTGAATTGAGAAAGCTAGTCGGATGACAAGTGAAACATCTTCAAGAAAAATAAATTTAAGTGACATTTAAGTCACCCCCCCTGCTTTAAGGACTTACCTTAAATTATGCCTCTCGATCCGATCATCTTCTTCCTTTCACTTGTGCTCAGCAATCCCTCCAGCGCTGGTGCCAGTCTCTGATCCAGTGCAGACTGTTGTATCTTCCTGTCCCACAGTGTCTGTCCGACGTACACACTCACGGCTGAGTGCATTCAGCTCCACTGTGCCTCTCCTGTTATCCCCGCTGAAGACCTCTACTGCGCATGTGCCCGCCCCATCACCCTGCAAGGCCGCTCGAGAAGCTTCAGATCTTCGTGTAGGAGTGAGCAGCAGAGACGGAAGTGTTTACCTTTTTGGTAACTTTTTAATTTTTTTGCATATATCTACTGCTTACAAGCAGTAGATATATGCAAAAGCAAAGGAGAGTTTAATTCTGCATTAAGTCCAGTTGCTTTGATTTATTATTTACAGATTTATTTTGTTATATTAATTTAGCACTGTGTTTCCAAATACTTTATGTTGCATTCTGGCGGCAGAATATACATCCTGAATAATCCATGTATTTTTTCCATGTAATCCATGTATCAATCCATGTATTTTCAGCATTCTTGCACCACCTTTGCCAGCTGATATCTAGTTATCTGCCCAGCATCTGCCAAGAGTGGATGAGTGTGCATAAAAACAAAGAACACCTTTATATGACCAAATCTCCCTTAGAATCTTGGTATGTAAGAATAACTCAATGCATTCCTTTACTCTATTCTACTAACAGATAAAAAACAATAACCACTTCAAGCGGGTGGCCGTATATACACGGCCATCTTACTCTTCAAAGGATTACTAGGTGAAAATAAAAGCCAGAAAAAAATAAACTATAAATGGCTAATAATCTAATGAGTGATAAGCTGCAATGTATGGTTTCAGTTACACTTTAACCATGTTCTTTCAAAGTTAGTGCTACTGATCATGTCTAGCCCCTATTAGCTACTTTTAGCTACCCCTATGCATCTGTTCCAGCGATGGATGTGCCTCATTGCTCTGGACTAGAATCCAGGTAGCAACAACAATGGATTTTGCTTGTACAATGTGATAGTCTCCGTCAGAGACACATGTGACTGTGACAAAACAAAAGAACATTGGAGAGACACTTGTTACCCATGGTACACTTAATTATTAGTAACTTCATTATTTTTAACTAAACTAATTCATAATATAATGTATTGAAATTGCTATCATATGTGCAATGCTGACCCAGTCATATAAAAGTCTGACAGTATAAGGAGAGGTAATGGCTGTGCACTGATTTCGGGAACAAAACATATCAGAGAAAACGTCTCACAGAACTGTCCATGCAATGTGCTAATTAGCTGTGTGCCAGGACGAGTTACAAAATGTCTCCTTAAGATTTAGCTTGTTTCTCACAGACCAATCCAAACCTGCCATGTTTGGTCAACTTAACCATGTAAATTGGAATGATATGTCTGGCTAAAATAGAAGCAATTTACATTTAACTAGGTAATAAAGCATATTTAAAGCATTTGTTTCCAAGTTTTAAGGCTTTCCCCACTTTTTTTTCACCTGGTAATCCTGCAAATAACACTTCCTATCCCTTGGCTATGCTCATTACCCCACTGTACTTAAGGAAGTAGCCATAGTTTTCAAATGCCTGGACTTGCCTGCCTTTCATCTCCATTACATTGTGGATTAATGACATTAGTTTACCAAAAATAAATACATTTGATTGTTTTTGCTGTCATCAGTTTACAGAAAGTGACAAGAAAACTGCATTCCAGTCATGATCAACAGGTTTTTTGCACTTGATAAAAATGTTCCTAGCCTAAAAAATCACAACTAATGTAGCCACCACATCTAAGGGCTGGCAAGCAGAAATATAGTATATGTATGTTGTTATCAGTTTAGACAGACTTTGAAGGAATAGAGCTGTATAAAGAAGGCATAAAATGTAAAATTTACTACACAATTAGGTACCTGTTCAGATGTTTTATAAAAGGCCACAGAGGCATTTACAAGTTTTAGTCGGTCTTCCATTTTCAGCATCAACTGTTGCCAATGAGAAGCTACTTTTTCTGCACAATCCCTGATCATATCCATATCATAATGGTTCGCTTGGAGCAAAGCCTCTGCTTTCTGCTGCACCTGCAGCGCATTTTGGTGTGTTTTCTGCAAAAGAACATACATCACAGAAGGTCTACAAAAATAAATAAGTTAAATGCATGCATGTTTATCTCAAAACAGATAGCTTAAATAAGAAAATAACCTCTTCTGTAATAATGAAGATCTTCATTATTAATACCACTATTCGGCCACCCATTATTTATTTACCAAAAAATAAAAAGCTTGTAGATATATTTTAATAATTAAAGTGACTTTACAGGCAGGGATCCCCCCCGTAATGCTGCTTTAAGGACTTACCTTACATGATGCCTCTTGATCGGAACAGCTTCTTCCTTCCACTCGTTTTCCACAGTCCCTCCAGCGCTGGTGCCGGTCTCTGATCCACCCCAGACTCCAAGTCCCGCGGTGACTGTATGATGTGCGCGTTCCCGGCTGCCTCCATTCAGCTTCAGCGTTGCTCTCCCCCTCTACCCTCTGACGATCTGGGCTGCACATGCGCCCACCCACACTTCCTTCTTCCCAGCATTAAAGAGCTGCTGTCAAAACTTATTTGAGGAACTTTTACATTTTTGACTAATACTTTAAAGAAAATGTCCAATCATTTTTACATAGTGGGTACAGTAGTTTTTTGTTTTGTTTCCCCTCTCTCTTGCTGGGTAGATTGCCCACCTCTTTCTGTCTCATTCACATAGCAAGAAGTGAAAGGTAACAATAGTATAAAAAGAATCTCTACTAATAAAAAACAGGTTTTACTGACCCCCACAACGTGGATTCCTGACCACATAAACACATTGACTCTGCATATTTTTGAAGCCAATAAAGCTTTATTTATTTTTTTTGATCCATGAGGCTTTTCCAGGATGAAGTTGCATTGTGACTAGAGAAGTCAGCAAATTGATGATCAAATTCTTGTTGGAGATCTTCAATTGCAGTAGCATACTGATCAACAGGAAATACATAAATGCAACCACTCTTTTTCTTCAATTATGGACTTGAATGTTGGAAAATAGCTGAGGTTTTTTTGGTAAACTGTGTTTTCCATAACTGGACTTTTATGGAAAATGTTTTCAATTTGTCAAAAGCCATAGTGATAAACTGGTTTGGGCCCTGCAGCTTCCGATTAAGTTTGATCAGCTCCTGTGTGATATCAACCAAAAATGCTATGTCTATGACCCATTTAGTATCAACAAGCTCAGGAACATCCAGTCTTCCATCCATCACAGATTTCCTGCCTCAGTGCATAAAATCTCTTCAGAACATTGCCTCTGCTCAGCCAGTGCACCTCTGTAAAGTACAGGACATCACAATACACTGCTCTTATTTCCTCCAAAAAAAAACATGAAACTGGTGGTGCTGTAAGCCCATTGATCAGATGTAGTTAATGCATTTCACCATAAGTGACATCAAATTTCAAGCATTTGCTGCAAAGTACCTGGTGATGAATAATGCAATGCAAACAATAGTAGGATCGGCATTTTCTTGTTCTAGTTTTCTTTGTATTAGCGCCACTAGGCCATTTTCCCCCAGTCATTGATGGGGCACCAGGGCTGCCATCAGAATATTTGGGGCCCCTTACACAGCTTTAGGCCTGGGCCCCCCTGCCACCACACCATATGCCTGTCCCATTGAGTCCACCCATTGACCCTCCAATTGTGTCATTCCATTGACTGTCCCACCGGGTGCTTCAGTACACCCACTTTTATTTTAACACCAAGAGCTGTACTGCACTTATTACCAACAGCAAAAACAGCGGCGGACCTAAGGAACAAACTAGCCCCCCAACCCTCCCCGGTGGTCTCCGCACCAGAGGAGCTTACACTCTACTGTCCCCCCACAGTCTCACACTATTATTGTTATATGTTGTCATTTATATAGCTCTGACATATACCACAGTTTTGTACAGAGCACACCGAACTTGCCACATGAGTCTCCGTACCAGAGGAGCTTCTAATCCAGAATGGCACGGGCTATAGGGGGACTACAAATCCCAGCAATACATTAATCAGCAATGCAGAATAGTATATGAATTGGATTCAGAACTTAGTAATACACTGGACTCTGGACTTACAATGCACTGGTCTCAGGACCCAACTGAGACCCCACACATACCTGAGACCCCACACAGTCCACCTGAGAGTGGCCTTCCAGAGCACACCATAGATCTGAGACTCTCTATGGTGGGCTCTGCATGGTCTCAGGTGGGCTGGTCAGGGTCCTTTTCCCTGCATCTCCCTCCTAGCAATTCTTGCCCGCTGCTGCTGTGGCCCAGTCTCCTACGTGGCTGGCGCTGCTGGGGACCGGTCGGAAGAGACGTAGTTGGAGTTCAGAACACTGGCAGCCAGTGACGGACCTAAGGAACAAAGGGCCCTGGTGCAAGATTTGTGTTTGTCCCCCACGGCTCTTACAATGCCCATAGTGGCCAACTGACCACTTGAAAGCCCTCACTGGCCACCAGAAAGCCCACATTGGCCACCTGAGAGCAGAAAAACAAGCTCCCACTGATTCTGCAATATGGTGACTTGCATGATAATTTAATTATACATTACAATGTAATAATTGTAACAATTCCCAGAAATACTTTATACAGCAATGCAAAATGACATCCGCTATAGAGGACTACAACTCACAGCAAAACTTTTTAATGGCAATGCATAAAGCCTTTGGTTACAGAGGACTACAATTCCCAGCAATACTTTATATGGCAATGCATAATGACACCAGCTATAGAAGACTACAACTCCCAGCAATAGTTTATTATACAGTGTTTGCAATTCTGCATTGCCTTATAAAGTTCTGCTTAAAGTTTTAGTCTTCTATAGCCGTTACCATTCTGCATTTATAAATAAAGTATTGCTGGGAGTTGTAGACCTCTATAGCTGATGTTATTCTGCACTGCTGCAATACGGAATGACACCAGCTATAGAGGACTAAAAATGTAAGCAATATTTTATACATACATGCAAAACAATTCCATTAGTTACAGAGGGCTACAAACAATGTCACTTAAGGCACATAGATTAAAGTAGCCACCTAGTTTGACTGTCCACACTGTGGGAACACATGCAACAGGGAGGGCTCTGTAATCAAGTGGCTGTGCGCTCGTTCCTCCCGGCCGAGGCCCCAGCGCTGCCCCAGAGTGTGCCTGCAGGATGCTCTATTTTCTCCTCCCACCTGGCTCTCTCCTCACTACCCGATGCCTGCTGCCCCACACCCCCAACCATCTCTTACCACTATCTTGGAGCTGCTGGGGCCCGACCTCCTCCGTCGCAGGTCCAGCGCTGTGGGGGCCCGGCCTCCTCCACCTCCTCCCGTCACCTGTATGGCCGATACCCATGTTAAAGGTCCTGGGTCCCCCAGGCTGCCCGGGCCCCTCACATCAGCCATTCCCCCTGATGGGGGCCCTGCCAGGGCAGCACTATCAATTGCATCACATAGTTGCTAAAATGTGTTGCTGCCTGTTTCCTTTTCCTGCATTGCAATTAAACTGAGCAACTCTTCAGTCACTTCAAAATGGTAATTAATTCCTCTGACACATACAGCGAGCTGCACAGTGTCATTTATGTCAGTGCTCTCATCAAGTCAACAAATAAAAACAGAACTTTGTAGAACTTTGACACATCACTGATCCTATCTGCCACTGTATTTGCTGATAGGCTGATGTTTTTCGGAATAGATTTGCCTCTTAGGGCAAAAGATATCAGCCAAATTTAACATACAATCTTTAAGAAACTGACCTTCAGTAAATGGTTTTCCTGCTTTTGCAAACTGCTCACTCACCACATAGCTAGCCTCAACTGCCGCATTATTTTCCTTTTTTTGCCCGTTTGAAGAGGTTTTGCTGCATGCACAGGCCTTTCTGAAGTTGTGCTATTTTTGCCTCTGACTTTCTTCTCCTTGATACTTTGCATACTGATCTGCATGTTTAGTACTATAATGCCACTTAAGGTTATAACCTTAAAGAACAGAATTATTTTCATTGAATATCAGGCAAGCAGCACTCTAATAAACTGCAAAAAAAAACAAAACAAAAAAACCCTTGTTCACTTCTCTAGAAATTTTATTTTCTCAGCATCCACTTTTCAATTGTAAAGCTGACATTATAGAGTATTACAGGGCCAGACAAAGTTGTCCTCTGCCAAGTATAATTTTCTATTTTTCACCTCCTCTTTTTGACAACACTTTGTACTTCAAGTTAAGGAGATAATACAGGAGATAATAAAAGATATATCTATATATATATATATATCTATATATATATATAGATATACGAGCACCGTGGCATGGCGCATCGTCTTGTTGGAAGAAGCCATCTCCATTGGGATATGCCATCAACATGATAGGATGAACTTGATCAGCAACGATACTTTGGTATGTTGTGCTATTCAGACGTTGTTCCGCCCAAATCCATGTGCGGGTAAGTACCAAGATGCCTTCGCGCATGGAATTCCAAGCTTTACCTCTCAAACACCTGATATAGAAAGGGACAGCAGAACCTTTATTAATACCATATTGAAGTAGGATTACAGTACCTTGGCCTTGTATTTTGCAGATATATGCTGTATATGTTACTCCTATCTATTTGGGTCTGAATTCCATCCATATTACCTGTACTACTTTGGTGTATAGTTTAGTTCTTGACAATGCTTGTTGCCGGAGCAGTGGTTCCCTTTTCACCCCTGCGTGGGACGTTGTTGCTCTCTGACTTGTTATAATGGCACCATGTGCTGTACTTTATTGTCAGTGTGTAATGCTTTTATATCAATAAAAATGTATATAGTAAAAAAAAAAGAAAACACAGAAGGGAAGTTCAGGTATACCTGGAATCCGTGGCTAGCCTTTCAACTCAAGACGGAGGAGTAACCAAACGTTTGCCCACTTTTTCCCATCATTTCTCTTCCCCAACTGCCCCCTCTCCTTGCCTATTTCTTCCCACACTCCCTTTCTGGTCTGTTCTCCATCTGGCTCGCAGGGCCTTCTCCGACTTTATTTTCCTGTTTTCGATCCCTCTCTATTCTTCTTTGCACTTCCCTGGCTACTTTCCATAT